ATAACTTTGACTCCTTAAAACTTACCTACTAATAGTCTGATGTTGACCAGAAGCCTTACCTTATGCGTCTCTCTACACATTTTTTGTGTGTTTTATGTATTATGTACTATAGTCTTAAAATAACATAAGGTAGAGAAGAGAAAACATTATTAAGAAAATCATAAATAAGAGCAAATACAGTGACAGCATTGTACTGTAGTTATTGAATAAAGAGTGGGCACGTCAGTGGACCTGCCTAGTCCCCACCCATGCTGTCCAAGGGTCAGCTGAACAGTTAATTTATTGGGAACTCATCCATCCATTGCTAGTGCTGAGTAGAGATCCATCCGTTGCTGGTGCTGAGTAGAGTGCTGGATGAATGTTAGGAGGTGGTGGTGTTACTTGGTTAGCCTGCAGTGCATGTCAAGGAGGCTGTCACTTTGCTTGGAAATACCTTTCAGTGATCAAAATGCTCTCCATCTCTGAAGGCCTACTCCTGTCTCAGCTTCAATTTTTCTTTCTCATTGAAAGCATCCTACCTGTCCTGTTTGAAGTAGCCCCAGCACCTCTGCTACTGTTTCTCTTCCCCACCTGAGCATGTTACTGTTTGCTCCCCATCAGCCCTGCTGGCTGCCTATGTGGTCAGTGTCATGTCTCGTGCCTTTTATGCTGACATTCACTGACTTGTAGACTGTCTACTTCCATGTAGCCACATCTTTCTTCATTGCTTGTCTCTGCATGTTGCTGGTCTACAGCGTTGGCACTTTGCTGGGCCCTGCCTTGTTCTGCGTGCTTCCTGCTGCTGTGAAGCCAGGTGCTAAGAACTTGGCCTCAGGAGTCAGACAAACTAGGGTTTCTATTCCTGGCATATCACCTACTGACTGTGTGAGAGAAACTTACCTGAGCCCACCTGCAAGATCAAGGGTGAGCATAATGACCAGCTGAAAGCCTGGGTCCAAAGGCAAAATCTGACACCTCCTAACCTCACAGTTCCTGGGATTTAGCATGTATCAGGAATGGCTACTGTCATCATCGCTATTCCTAGTGAGGTGGCCAGCCACTGGTCCCTGCATCCGTGCATCAGAATTTCCCTATGTCCACCTGCCGTAGGTTAGCATCTCATATTAACCAGGATCACGGGGAGTAAATATTAGCTAATGATTTGGTCAAACTCTAAGGAATAGCTCAGGGTCTCAGATTGCTTATCTTTGAAAAAAGAAGCTGGCATGTGTGTGAGCCCACAAATTTTAACACCAGCCCAAGTTTGTTAGTACAGGAACAAGGAAGAGACTTGATGAATGCTTGCTCAGGTAATGCACGGGGCCGTGCAGGTAGGGTGGGGATGCAAGGGGGCAGGTGCCAGTACCAGAGGACCCACATCTCTGTTTTTAATAGGTTTGATGAAGTTGGGGGAGCTTACAGGGGAGAAAAGGATTTCCCAGAAAGAGTGTTCCATTTTTATGCAGTCCTAAATATCGCCAGCCTTTGTATTAGCAGAACACATAAGAATTCTGGTTCTGTTGAGATTTTCCCAAGAAGAGAAAAGACTGTCAGAAAACCTACACAGAGATGTGAGGAAGGAGATTAGGGCCCAGGAGATGGTAGATTCAAAGTATGAGGGACTATGTGGGAGCCAGCTGTTTTCTGAGCAAGTGGAGGCATTTTGGTCTTTCAGAAAAAGCAGTCGACTTTCTGAACTTGAAGGCAATGTTCATTGTATTTTCAAAATGTTTAGACCATGGAGGAGCTAATGTATATAAAAGCACTTTTGTTAGCTGAAGTTTCATGCACATCAGAGCAACCCCACTTATCTCCTTGTTGTGCCTTGTGGTGCTCAAGATACTTTCCCCATATCTTGTTCCTGCTCCCAATAACTCTGCATGTAGCTGCTGCTACTATTAGCTCTACTTTACAGATGGGGACACTGAGGTCCAGAGAGACTGACTGACTTCCCCAGGGTCATATGCATAAGAGTTACTGAGACAACATTGCCCCAGCCTCCCAGGCTCTTAGGGATGATGACATTAATGCTGTTGGTCATTGTTTTTGGTTTAATTTAAGTAGACACCCTTGTTAAGCCACCCTGTGGCTTTGTGGTTGGGACCAGAGGTGGAAGCTGGCATTTCTGTCCCCTATAAAGCCACTTATGTCTCTGTGACTCAGTTTGCTAGTAATTTGGTGGGAAGAAACTATCTCTCCCTCTAGTGGGTCTTCACATAGTGTGTGGATACTGCACCCTTGCTGACTCTCCAGCTTCTCGAGCGGTCCTGTTCTGTGTTATCTTCCACACCTGGAAGGACTTGTCTAAGTAGTTGGACTCATTTTTCTTTCAGAATGGAGTTGATTATCCCAAGGCAGGGTCCTATTCTGTTTAGATAGCACTAAGGTTTGTGCAAGATGAAGTGACCTTTACTGTGGAATGCAAAACTGCTTATTTGTGTATGCTCCACAACCACCCTATGAAGTAGGGCTGCTATTTCCTCTTGCTGTATGAGTCATCTGAGGTCCAAAGAGGTTTAGTAATTTGCTCAAGAGCACATGATAAAAAACATAGCAGATTTAAACCAGATAGTCTTGCTCTATAGCTTGTGCCATTAAATAGTATACTAAGCTCATTTGATGACTAAGTGCCATCCATCCATTCACCTCTCCATTCCTGAACTCACCTCTCTACCCACCTTTTCACCTATTACTCATCCATTCAGTTAACTTTCCATGTATCCATCATCCATCCACCCACTCATCCTATGACCCACCCCTCTGATCATCCACCCATTTATCTATCCACTCATCCTACTATCCACCCATCTGTTCATCCATCCATCTGTCATTCATTTATCATCCATCCATCCATCCATCCATCCATCCATCCATTCATTCACCCACCCACCCCTTTATTCATTATATTGGCTATTTTTCTCACATGGTTTTTGCATCATCCTGGGGAAGAAGTTTCTCCATTCTGGCAGCCAAGCTTGTGCTTTCTGAAGCTTGGAGACCTCGATATCAACACAAATCCCTTAACTCCCAAGAAATATCTGGACTTATTTCTAACATTCCTAGGTTGGTGTTCTCAGGAATAGTGCTATTTTAGGTTGTGCCAGGTTACTTGTTTATTTTCTCCCTGTAAGCCTTCAGAGGGTTTCTCCCTACAAAGTTCTACAAATATGCAAAGCTGCAGACTCTTCCAGAAACAGTGGCTTTCTGAAGCATTTTCACAAATTAAAACTCAATTAGCCCCATTCCTTGAAGTAAGATTTGAATTTGGATTAGTTTAGCATTATTTTACCTTTTTAAACTGTTATGCAGTCTATGTGATATATCTAAAAATTATGTAATAAATCTAAAACAGATGTTCCCAGAGCATTTTATAAAGAAGTGAAATTTAATAGAAATAGAACAATTTGATTTGAGATAAGTTAATTAGAATTGTCTGTGAAGAAGCAGTATCATTAAGAGACAGTATGGCTTACCTACTCCTAAGTGTAAAACAATGAAAGTCATTTAATTATTTTGCATAGTCTCCATTGTTTATAATCCAATTGGAAAAAATCTTGCTTTTCAGTTTTATTTACATTTTTATTATGGAAAAATTCAGACATGTAAACATAAACCATAAACAGTTATATAGTGAACTCTCATGCACCCATTACCCATCTTCAACAATTATTAGTTATAATTGTACTCATTTCTCTCATTACTTTACATAAGTTTCAAGGATATTTTTTTCACCACTTAATTTCATTGGGTCAAAATTCCATTCTTGAAAAGTACGTTATGTTGACATGGAAATATAATACAATTTTGAATATAAGTAGCTTACTTTGACTCTATATGGCTGACTCTTTACTGAAATATAGCTCTTTTTGGGGGAAGGAGGATATTGGAAATTTTCTGTTATTTTTAATTTAAAAAATTCTAAATCTGCAATAAAGTTGAAAGAATAATAAATGAGCCATCACATTTACTTCTCCATAAATCTGTTATTAGGATCAGTACTGGCATTTTCCTAAGTGTGAGGTTTTCTGACCTGTGAAGGTACATGGACACTAGCACATGGTTTGAGAACCAGACACACAGAGAGTCAGTTCTCCCTCTGCCCTATCTTAGCCGTGCATTGTAGGCATATTGCATCATACTCAGTATCTTCATCTATCAAATAGGAATACTAGTAATATACACCCCATGGGCTTATGCAAGACACATTATAGGCTCTCAGCTGATGAGTGACATATCTCCTTACTTCCAAATAGCAACTGGAGGAGCTGAATGGAGCAGGGGGTGGGGGTGTTGGGCTTTGCAGATTCAAGTCATTTTTTAAATAGGGAAGATTTTTGCCGATGAGATAGTTGGTATCATCTAGAATATAGGTCTGGAGTGAGAGTGGTTTAAACCCCAATTCTGCACTTATCAGCATGGACCAGGAGTGAGTGACTCAATGTATCTGGGCCCATTTTCTCACTGTAAAATGGGAAGACCACATGTGGTGGTGGTGAGGAGAAAATTAAATGGGAGAGTGTATGCCCAGCATAGTAGTGTCTGCTCCCAGCTGCCCAGAGTGTTCCTCTTTTCACTATGATTCTAAGTCAGGATATATGGTAGCACAGTGCCTACCATATCCATGCTCAATAAATGTTACTATTATAATAAATGCTGAAAAACCCTCACTGAATTGTTCTTTGAATGTCTGATTCTACTTTGGTGCAATAAAAACAATAAAGGTCTTTCATGAAAGCTCAGAAGGCTATATCGAGCAAGTGTCAACTTTGGACAGACAGGTGCATGTCACCAGCTGGGCTGGGCATCACACATCGCCGTGGAGATAACCTGGACCCTTGGTTCCCTCTGGATGTACTAGAATGAACCAGCTTCTAGAATGCTGGAAGTGTGTGCTTCTGAAGGGCTTGCCCATGGCCAGGCCGGATGCCTCTACCCAGAGGGCTGGTGCTGTTCTGTTGCCTGGGACTGGTATGCTTTTTTCCTCCTGCTCTCTCTTCTGACTTTCTCTTCTTCCCTTCCAGGTTGAAAGGATTGTAGACAAGAGGAAGAACAAGAAAGGAAAGTGGGAGTATCTTATCCGATGGAAAGGCTACGGGAGCACAGAGGACACTTGGGAGCCGGAACACCATCTGTTGCACTGTGAGGAGTTTATCGATGAGTTCAATGGGCTGCACGTGTCCAAGGACAAGAGGGTCAAGTCTGGGAAGCCAGCCAGTGCTTCCAAGCTCCTGCGTGACAGCCGAGGCGCACCAGTGGAGAAACTCTCGCACAGGCCTTCAGAATCTGGCAAGAGCAAAGGGACTTCCCATAAACGGAAGCGGATCACTCCCTCCCTGTCCAGACCCAAGAAAGGGTACTCAGCCAAGCCCCCTCCTGGAGGCGATCGGGCCACCAAGACAGTGTCTTACAGGACTACCCCCAGTGGCTTACAAATAATGCCCCTGAAAAAGGCTCAGAATGGGCTGGAAAATGGGGATGCTGGTTCTGAGAAGGACGAGAGGCATTTTGGAAACGGGTCCCATCAGCCGGGTTTGGATTTGAATGACCACGTTGGTGAGCAAGACCTCGGTGAATGCGACGTCAATCACACGGCGCTGGCAGAGAACGGGCTTGGTATGTGGCTTATATTTCTCTTGCGTTTGCCTCTGGTGCTGGCAGACCAGCACCAGAGCTTTGCATGTAGCTTTGGGGAGTCACCAGACCCCACCCACCCCATTAATGGCTCTTAGCCAGGCAGCAACTCACCTTTGTCTCTCTCAAGTAGGGCCATGTGGATTTGGTGAGGCATCCATAGTGGTTACAGGCACTCCGTATGTGGGGAGGAGGCACTGATGTTCCAGAGCCCAGGCCTGTAATGGTGGAACATTCCGGACTGAACTTGATGACACGCCTGGCCATGGTGACCACTCTAGGGCCCCTTCTCGAGGGAACCCCTAGTTGTTACCTGCCAGGATCCCTGACTCGTGTCCCAGATGGTAGATGTCTGTCTGGGACAGAGTGACCTCATAGAGCCCCTGCTTTCTACTTCATCATGCCCCCTGGAATATAAGCTAGAGAGGTGGGGTCTGGGTTGGGGGTCTGCTGCTTATTCTCAAGTCCTCCTTCAGACAGCATTCTCCAAACATTAGGCTAGACTCTTGCCTTTCACTTAATTTCTATAGTAGGTCCTAATGTGACTCTGAACCCCCTCCTCTGTGTTTTCTTTTGATTTGTACCTTCTTACTCCCTCTTGGAGGCAACACAGCAGAGATGATAGAATTCCCTCCTCTCACCAAGTCCCTGCAGGTAAAGTTAAGGAAAGAGGAAGCCATGATCCAGGGAATTCACACATGCAAACCTGATGTTTCCTCAGCAGTCACATTGCTCAGTCATTGACTGAGTTCCTGGTGGCTTGAGCCTTCCAGGCTAGCCATCTGCACCCCTTACATATGTGCCCCCATATCTCAGATACCTATGTGTCTTTGTGGTGGCGTTTTACCTTTAGCTGCCAGAGCCTCAGCCTCATGCTTTAAGAATAGGCCAGAGATGCCCTGGATGGAACCAGACTGTGTGTGGGAAGAGGGGTGCTGGCGTGCAGGTGGGGCAGCCTGGAGGAATTCACAGAAGGATGGGCTGATGGGGGGGCATGCATGGGGAACCAGTGATTTCAGGGTCCAGAGTGTGTGGAGCGTTCCTGGCAGGGCAGGGAGTGATGTCTTTAGGGATTCTTGCTGGGGAATCTGAGCAATCACTTTTGAGGTTCCTCTTTCTCCAGAGAGAGAAATTTCACCCAAACAGGATTTATTTAGCAGTCTGCCCTAGATTGACTCACGTTTCCGTCTGGGGATCCCTGATGCTGACATGACTCTGCCTGCTAACATCTATAAAAACTGTTTGTTTTAAAAATTCGTCTCTCGGGGAGGAGTGGGCTTGTGTAAACGAGGCCTGGCACACACATCCGTGTCTGATATTCCCGTGACAGCTGCGGGCGGTGGAGGAATTCCCGTCTTGGGAAGGGTGCCGGCGAGGAGAGCTTTGGGGGCTCCTTGGGTGCAGGCTCAGGAAGCTGGGCACAATTCCCTGCATCCTGCTGGAGCAGCCCCAAGAGGGAGGGACAACCACGAGGGAGGATGCTTGGCTGCACGGCAGCGTGAAGGGGAGGAGCCAGACTTGCAAGAGCAGTGGAGACAAAGGTTCCCCTCTTGTTCCGTGCAGCTTTCCTGAATGAGGTAGAGCTCCATCGTTGGGCCTCATCCATGCCTCCTGCTGTGTAATTTGGCCATGGGGTGTGGTACCCTAGGACTAGGAGAAATAGGCTGGGCCAAGAGTTCTGGGAGCAGTGGTAATGCCCAGAGTTAACTCCAGAAGCTTCTCTAGTCCTTTCTTGTCTCTGCTCTCTGGCTTCTCATTTCTACCCCCTTGTTGACTGTCCTCTACACCACTTGGGTCCCTTCCTGGATGGAGAGGAAAAAGCTGCCCACCTCTATTTTGTTCTGTTTTGGGTGTTTCTAGAGGGCCCTTTTACTTTCACATCCCATAGTATTTATTGCTGTCTTTGACATTCCCTATAAGGTGAAAACAACATCTTCAAGTTTGACTGTGTAAGATATTCTGGCACCCCGTAAAAATGCAGATGCCATAAATCTGGTTTATTAAGACTGGGATGGAACCTGAAGATGAGTTTTTGAATAAGAACCTTGGGGTCTCTGACACATTTGAGAGAGGCTTTGTGGCAAAATGGGGGTAGCAGTTATGTCAATTTAACATTAATTCAGCACTTCATTTTGGAGCACTTCCTCAGGGTCAGCCACCATGCTGGGTGCGTGGAGTAGAGTCATGAGAAGATAGGTGAGGATTGTTGCCCCTGAAACTAGTCTATTCTCTAGTGAGTCAGGAGTGGCTCTTGCTAGGCCAGTGTTGACAGAATCCCGAGGCTGGCTCATTGAAGGAGTAATATGGTTGTGTACATAGTAGGCCTTGACTGTATATCATCTGTGATCTCTGAGTGATAAATGCCTTAATCACTGTCAATCTTTAACACTCTAGTTAGAACTAGCATATTATCTAGTTGGTTGGTAACTGGGGGGCAGAAAAGCCTGGGACCCTTGAGAGAGAGCTTTGTTGTTCCTGACACAGAAGGGGTTTTATGGGTCCAGAAATTGCCAGCTCCACTTAATCTTTCAACCAGAGAGAAGCCTCATTAAAGCCAGACCTTATGCCCTTGCCGTGACCATTTCCACCCAAGGATCCAGTACACATTGGCATGTGGGTGAGCCAGCAGGCTTTTCGGCACAAAGGAGCACTCATCTTTGTCTAGCGGAAGGGGAGGGGAAAATCCTGGCGATGCATTCCTGGCATTTGTTTTGCGGGTGGGCTGTTGCTTTTTGTATGATTTTAACTTCTCTTTGATGAATTCAGGTTCTACATACAGAGAAGCAACTTATGTAACACGTTACTCATTTGCTGCTGCCTTCCCTGATCTGTGCTGTGGGAACAAATGCTAAATCGGGGCTCCAGCGGGTGGTGTTTTGGTTTCAGACTGCATTCCCCCAGCACTGTTTGTGAGGCATGTGCAGCAGCTCAGTACTGCTCCTGCTTCTGATTCTTCTCCCGTAATGACAAATGGCCCTGTGGTCCGGGGACCATCTGCCTCAGCATCCCTTGGGGAGCTTGTTAAAAATGGACTCCGCCCCCATTGAATGAATTGGGATCTCAGGGGGCAGGGTGCGGGTTATGCATTTTAAATGCTGAATTTTAACATCCATGGGTGTTTCCAGTTCTTCCCGTGGCTGTGGTTGATGGTCAGCGATGGTTCATAGGTCCATTTGTTAAGGTCCAAAGTTCCTCCTTGGGCTTTAAGCTTCTAAGTGGGAATGTGGTTGGCTCCTTCAAAGGCATAATAACTCTAACCTGACAATTTCTCCTCCTTGACGATGAACTTTCTACTGGGCATCTTTTTTCTTTCTAGAACAGACTGGTTCCATCTGTGTGGAGAAGCTGCTGGACTAGCTCACCTCTCCTGTGGCCTGGTCCTGGAGAACTGGTTAGCCCTGTCTTGTCTAGATGGGCCAAAGCTTTGCTACTTGACAGATTCAGATGTGCCCTTTACCTGTGTGAACACTCCTTCGGGCGGTTGCACATCACACAAACACCCGCCCAGCGTTCTCCAAATTCCCACAAAGCCAGTGGCTTGCATTGCTGATGCTGGTCCCGTGCTGATGCTGATGTGTCCCCATCTCTTTAAATCTTGGGAGTCATTTCCCTTCCATCTGATGGCTGGTGTCTGTCGCCCAGCCCTGCATCTCGGGCTCTGCTTGATCGGTGTTTTCAGGATTGCAGCTGCCATGGAAGGTGTCGTCCTGCAGGACAGTGCCACATGTGCTGCATCGATCCTTTAGTATTTCCTAGGTCTCCATGTCTGTAGCATTCATATGTCTCTTCCTAGTCACTCCTTCCTGATTCTTCTTTGCCCCTTTATTGATCATAACGGAGTAAGCGTGTTTGAAAGCACTTGAGAAACCAAGCACACTCTGGGGAGCCACTGTGACTCGGAGGAGCCTTGGGCTTGCAAACACAGCGCTGCATCAGATCTGCCCCTTCTTAAAACACAGTTGGCACCCCAGACCCTAGAGGTTCTGATTCAGGAGGTGTGGTGGAGAGCTTGCGAATCCTTTTCTCTCACAAGCTCCCAGCTGCTGCCGCTGGCCCAGAGACTGCATTCAGAACCACTGCAACTCGAGACTAATGAACACCAGGATGGTTGAGTTGATCATGCTGTGCCAGTGGGCAGTGTTGGGAGGGTGCAGGTGCTTTTGCTCTGGACCTTGAGTTTGCTCACTAGAGTTTGCAAGTTGAACTTTGGGAGATGAGAGTTGTATCCTGGGATTGTTTGAGTGGGGGAACCCCTGGGGATGAGACCTGGGGTTTATTACAAAGTGCCCTCTGGCAACCTTGGTAGTCCTGAGATGTAGCTGTCATCCTTCCTGTCAATCAAAGGAGGAGAGTAGGGCTACAGTGCTCAGGTTGGGACTAGGAGAGAATTCCAGGTCATTCAACTCCAGCTGATCCCTAAAGGACATCCTGGTTGACTTGCAGGGAGGACTAGGGGTGCCTATGTCCTGGCTCCTGACCAAACAGGCACTGGTTGGAGACGGGGGTCTGATGGGGCAAGGAGCCCTCTCCTTGGCCTCAACCTCGTTGCTTCTTAATGGAGGGATCTAATCTAAGGATTTAACTCCTATTAACTCTTTGCCTTTCAATGTGCAAATCTGGATGAAATAGTAGATCACTAGAAAAATACAGTTTAACAGATTCAAGGACTAGAAAATCTGAATAGAGCAACAACTGTTAACAAAAGGATTAAACCAGTCATCACTAAGCTCTCCGAATAAGCAGAAAGAAGTCACACAAAGCCCAGACAAGGTGACCAAACATTCTAGAACAGCTGATCCCTCTCTTCTCCCAGGGGTGGCCCAGAGCAGGAAAGGAGGTGACACTCTTAAGTCCTTGGCGAGGTCTATATAACCTGGATTTCCAACCCAGACAAGGAGATGAGCAGCAAGGAGAATTACAGATCAGTTTCACTTATAAATTTAGTGGTCCAGAGTAACCCTCCTGGGCCCCCATTATGGTTT